CACCCCCCCGCGTTGGAATTTCGAAAAATCCTTTCTTAGTGTGCGTTTCCATGACGTACCCTAACTGTGTACCAAATTTCACCTCTTTAGGTTAAGCGGTTTGCTCTGGGCGATGATGAATCAGTGAATGAATGAGTGAGTCAGTCAGGACAAGCAATTTTATATATTTAGATAAAATAGATTTACATTTATTTAAAAAAAAATTAAAATCATGATATAGGTAAGGTTCAACAGGCTGTATATGAAATGCTATACGGTAAAAAAAGGATCTTTGTGAAAGAGAAAGGCAAAAAATGGGATGAAGAAGCATGATGTATTACGTGTTCTTACAGTAAGGATGCAGAGACCTAGCCAGTAATTTAAGATTAGACCACTGATTTAAAGCAGAGAATGCAGTCAAAATATTTTAAGCGATCGGAAAGATTTGGAAGACCGAGGTGAACTCTTGCCACATCGTGGTTGTCAGTAAAGGGTAAATTGCAGAATTTGTGTATCAGAAAATAAACTTTATTTAATTCAGATTGTATTTTTTGAATCAGATAAGGGGCAGCCATGGCTCAGACTAGTAAACAGTAATCGACTATTGATTGAAAATTAGTAAAGAAAATTGTTCTGAGTACGGTTTTTGAAGAGATATTTTTGCAAAAACGCAAGATAAAGCCACGTCTAATTGCAAGAGATTTAATAATGTAAGAGATATGATCATGGAATATTAATTTTTCATCAAATATGATACCAAGGTCATGATGAGACTAGACATAGTTTATTTTAGAGGAATCAATAAATATGGAAGGGTGATAGGGATTGCGAAGTAAAGAAAAACACATAATGACAGTTTTATGGATGTTGATTTTTAGATTATAACTGGCAAGATTAGAACGTAAAAAATTGACAGTGATCTGAAGAGAGGAGGGATCATTGGATAAAATTTTGATGTCATCAGCATAGGCAATTACTTTAGAGTGGGGGTTGATTAGTAATTTATCTATATAAGCTGAGAAAAAAGCATGCTTAGTACAGATCCTTGAGGTATGCTGCAGATAGGATAGAAAGGGAAAAAATCAAAGTCACCAATGTGAATCTTACATAGTCTGGATAAATAGTAATTGTTTAACCAACAGTAAAGAGCAGAATCTAAATCAAAATAATCAATTAGAGTCTGAAGTAGTAATTTAGGAATGATAGAATCAAAGGCTTGGGAAATGTCAATATAAATTATGTAGGTGAATTTTTTGTTCTCAAAGTTTTGCAAAATAGTATAAGTTGTTTCAAGAAGATTAGTAGTAGTAGAAAGGTTACGGATGCCACAGTGTTGATGAGGGAAGAATCTGGAGGTAATTTGGATATAGATTTTGTTATATAAGCAAATTTCAAAAATTTGCTTATATAACAAAATCTATACCCATAATGGAACCTAATAGAATAATAACATAATGGAATACTAATAATGGAATATTAATAATGGAACCTGAAACTGATCTGACGACAGAAGAACTCCAAGAACTCTCAAATGAAGAATACCAAGAAACTCAGCAAGATGTGTTTTCTTTTGAAAAAGAGGAAGGTGAAAGAGGACCAATGTCGACATCTGATACTAAAGATCTTTTGAAGTGGGAGGATGTCAGAACAACGATCATCCAAGTGGCATCTAAACCAGATTAAGGTTAATGGGGTTGGGATCTATAGAATTACAATACTATTAATTACTTCTAAAAAATCCTGAAGAAAAGAGAAAAGCAATTGACATCGGACAGATTCTTTAACCCCCACAAACAGAAAAAACATGACTAATAAAAATGCAAAACTGCACATATATGTATTTTTACTATTACATATAAATAAACATAGTAAAAAAGTATATATTTTTTATTTTTTGGAGTCTCCGGAACAAATTAAATGGTAAATTGATAATCAGTTAACGAACAATTCGGATAACGAACAAAGTCTTGAAACAGATTAGGTTCATTAACTGATCACCCACTGTATTCTAGATTATAGTTTCTGTCCTTGATTCTTACCATTTCCTGTTTCTAGAACTTTCTCCCATCTTTTATTTCTACTTCACTGCATTGATGATTGATATTCCAAACCATCCCGTGGGGAGATCAGCATAGGCAATTACTTTAGAGTGGGGGTTGATTAGTAATTTATCTATATAAGCTGAGAAAAAAAGCATGCTTAGTACAGATCCTTGAGGTATGCTGCAGATAGGAGAGAAAGGAAAAAAAATCAATGAGGAGAGTAAATGCCCAAGGGCCAAATCTGGAAGTAACGATTTTTCAGATATGGGAGAAGAGAGCTCATTTGATAGGCCATAAAATCCATTCAAAAATTACAAGAATATGACATAAAAAGATGCTATTATTTGTAAATTTTTATTACTTTGTCACTAGCCAAATACTTTTTAATAGCAGAAATGTTTTCAAACTCTTTACAAATCATCATCAACTTACATAATTAGGTTTGAAAAAATATGGCAATTACAAATACACAGGATCAAACGAGATTCAAATGCAAAATACAGTTTATAGAAAGAACAGAATGTAACATTCAAATACAAAATATTTTCAAAACAAAACAGGTAATGCAACATAGCAGAATTCCATAGTTACAAGAAAATATAAGTTAATGATAATAAAATTTAAAACATGTCATTTATTATACAGTATGTATGCATTAAATGTATATTATTATTATTTCTAATAAAATATACATTTAATACATAAAATACTAGTTCATACCTGGTTCAAATGTAATTTGAACCAAATATGAACTAGTATTTTATGTGAGAACCAGGTATGAACTCTTGCAAATGATATATTTCTATCAAAGCTTATAAAATTGAATTTTTAGAAATAGAGAGTAGCCTATATTTTTCCTTGGACTATCCTGAATATAAGTACAAAGTTTCATACTGAAAGGTTCATCCATTCTCATATGATACTCAAACAACACAAAGATATATATATATATATATATTTATTTTAGTTCACGCTTGATGATGGAATTTCCCTTAAGTTGTATTTTTAAGTATTTTGGTAAATAGCATATTTTAAACTTACTTCATTAAATTTAAAATTTAAACTTTAAAAAAAAATAGATGCATTGTGTCACTTCTTTAACAAATTTTTTTAAAAATCTTTCCATAATGTTCTATTATCCAATCAGAAGTAATGATCTAACAAGTTACATTTCTACTCTTCTCAATTCTTCGATTTCTACTTTCTCATCTTTATCATAAAAAGTATTCTGTCATGCTTGATAGAAAAATTTCTAGTATATAATAATTTTTTCTTTTCTTTTTATGCCAATAATAAATTTCACATAAAAAGAAAAAATAATAATAATAATAATAATAAAATAATAATAGATATCCAAATATTATATAATGAAAAGTGATCTTGAAATGTTGCTGAAATACTGTATTTTAGTCATTGTTAACTTTTAATTACACAATAACAGAGATTCATTAATATATATCAGTGTTATCATTTAAATGATTCTGCTGATAAGTGCAAATTTACATTTTATTTTATTTTGGAAAGACTGATTATAAATTTCAGTATTTCAATACTGAAATTTGACTGATTATAAATTTCAGTATTTCAATACTGAAATTTATAATCAGTCAGTATTTCAATAACTGATTAGTATAATCAGTTATTGAAATACTGAAAAACTACATAATTTGCTTCTTCACCTACCAACATAATTTTTGCTTTATGCAGTTTAGCTGTATCAATAATTTCTACTTTCAATTGAAAATCTTATTAATTATATTCTATAAAAACAAAATACTATATTCAAGAATATTCAAATTCATCAATTTGTGGATAATATTTCATACACTTAAAAATTTAAGACTGATTGTGAAATCAAATAGCATGTACAGTAGTTATATTTAAGAAATTTAGTCATGAACTGTCACAAAAAAAATCTATTTATTTTAACTTCATTCTCAAAGATTCAATTAAAATTTTAAGGAATATAATAAAACTTTTAATACCACTGATGATAAATTTTTTACAATCAACCATAGCAAATTACTGTAAAACTGACAGATCTTATACTAATACTATACTGAAAGATATTAAAATTTGATTGAGTAATTTATGCACATTCATATACATGCCTACCTTCCTTACTTTGCCATTTATTTGTGATTTTGGTTCACCAATGCTATCTCCATCCACACTTTTAACACTTGCATCTTTATCTTCTGCACCTTTATCTTGTCCCACAAATAATTCATATGAGCCACAGGAAGACGCTGAAGAACTCTTTACTACGCCGACTCCTGCTTTTTCTTCTTCTAACTGTCAAACAAAAATTTATTATATTCAACACAATTAAATAATTTAATAACAACTAATTACAACAGAAATGTTTATCTCTCATAAAATTCTATTTTATACAAAAACTAAAAATGCAAAATCAACATACAAGTCTCCAAAAGTTGAAACTTACACAAATTAAAACTAAACACCCCACACACAGTCTTCCAGCAAATAATTGATTCCAATGCATATTATTTGCTGAAAGACTCTGTATATGGTGTTTAGTTTTAATATGCAAAATCTAACTAAAAAATCAAATTATTTACAAAATAAAAACAATGTACATATATATTTATCCCCTTTAGTTCTTCACCCGAGTTAACTCGGGCATGTTACATAGCCTTACATTAAACTCGGTCCTTTCAGCCCCCCAAAAAATTTTTGTTTTTTTTTTTTAATTTTTGGAATGTTTTTTAAGTCTCCAAATTTTTTCAAAAATTTTTAACCACACAAAAAAATTTTATCGCGATTTTAATAAGCCTTTGATAAGGCTCGATTAAAGCTTAATTGTTTTTTAATGGGAGTTTTTTATCAAATTTATTTCATGGTTCCTAAGTTGTAGCGCACGGATTTTCCTTCGGTAAAGTTATTTAAAGCTGCTTTCTGATGTCAAAAAGCACCTCCAATAGTTTTTTAATTTTTTTAATTAATAGATTTTATTATATACACATTTAATTAAGTCGGGGGTAGGAAATCGCAATTAAAATTTGAATTTTTTAAAAATATTTAAAAATATACGACCAGATAGAACTCACCCTACTTTAAACCCTTGTCCTCCCGAGACTTCTGAGAGAATGTCCCGGGAAATCTGACTCCAGCTGTGTTCAAGGTCATCCAGCTGTGTAAACAATGACTCATAGATGTCAAATTTCACAGAAAGGCCAGACAAAGGAAAATAAAGTTTGAAGCTTTTTCTTCAAAATTAACGCATTTCTTTCGTTTTTTTTTTCAGTTTTAAGTATTTTTTATGTTTAATTACATTAATATCAAAAATTGNCGGTTAAAAACAATAATGTAAAAAATTGTCTATTTTTATTTTGAGATATGTATGTGATTATGTCTAAGACTCCTGAATACTGTCAAATATATAAAAGATCATTTATAACAAATTTTTATGAAATTACTCCACTTATTGTCAAATAAGTTGTGCGCACCAATTAAGACCTTGTATGTATAACAGATTAAAAATGGATATGGTAAGAAATATACATTATTTTAATTGTATTTTGTAAGATATTTTATGTAATGTTTTTAAAAATTGTATTTTTTTAGTTGACTGATGAGGGGCTTTATGCCCGAAACGTGCTGTTGTCACGTATCAACTAAAAATGATGGAAATAAAGCCAAGTGTTTATTTATAACTCAAATGTGACTTTCAAGTCCAATATATTCGCAAACCACGGTTTCAAAAACAACATATTAAAATTAAAGTAAAATTTGTTTATTTTTGATCGTGTATTCCCCTATCCCTATTTACTCTATGTTAAAATGACCTCATTTCATGCTGTTGCTCTAAGCACTTTCTTGTCTAGGAATGCATCCCCTGCATTAAGCGAGGTCTTACTGTACACACATCTTCAGCATATATATATATATATATATATATATTGTTACTAGACTCATTAAATGAAGTGTTTGTGTGATATCAAATTCTTTAAAGATGTTGACAGAAGGAAAAAGTGGCCTATTGACTACTGACAGAGAATACAAAATGCTGCTAGTCAGCACCAAATGCTGATGGTGGCAACAATGCTTGAAAGGTTTTATCACTGATGGAACTAGCTACATTATCTAGCTATAAAACAGCTTAGACTCTAGCTAAAATTAAAAACATATCATTGTTCAATGCTGAATTCGAATATAAAGGAAATATTGATTGTGGTCATTGAATCTCTGTTGTAGAATTGTAGCTGTATGTCATAATTTTAAGTTATTAAAGAATACAGTGGATGATCGGTTAACAAACAAATTGGATAACGAATACTTTCACAAAAGATTTTTATGATCAGACAATGAACACATGTTCAGATAATAAACACTTTATTGAACAAACATAAAATGAATCAATATAAAAAACGAATACCGATTCATTTTCCCTTGTCTTCAGGTAACAATTCGAAACCTTTCAAAGCACGGGAGATGTCAACATCGACATTCAACCCAGATAGTATTAATATTCCTATGAATTTTGAAATTCTCCCTTGTAATTCCAGCTTTTTGTTTACCTTTCTGACAAATAATTTTTTATAGTATTCACAAGACTGTCGGACAGGCACTTGTTAAGTTTTGCGTCGGGATTTATTTATGAAAGGTAAAAGTTTAACTGTCCCATTGGATATTGGATATTCGAAATTTGGTATTAAAACAAACCAAATTTCGAATTTCATCCGAGCCTTGCATTTAAATAATTTTTTGTGAGCTAGTTGATTTCTGTTCTCTGAATTTTTGTAAGTGCTTTTCTGAACTTTTAATTTTAAAAACAAACTGATAATATTATGGAGCCTAAAAAGAGAAGTGTCAAGAACTGCGCTCACTGTAGAAACCAAGTAAGAGATAATAACCAAAGTAGAAAGTGAGCACAAGCTGTCTGATGTTGCTAGGCAGTATGGCTTGAACAGGTCTACAGTAGGCACAATCTTAGTTATAAAAGGTATATCAAGAAGTCTCAAGCTGCTAATGGAGTAATGAAAATCACATCTGAAAAATAAAGAGCATTTTAGAGCTCATAATTTATTTATTTACATTTAATTGGAAACGTCAGAGACAATTGTATTCCACCCCCTAATAACAAAAAAAAATGATCCCCAATAAAATAATTACAAAATATAAAAGATATAACAGACATTAAAAAAAAATTATAAATAAAGTAAAACAACAGTTACATTATATATTATATAAAATAGATTTACATTTATTTAAAAAAAAATTAAAATCATGATATAGGTAAGGTTCAACAGGCTGTATATGAGATGCTATACGGTAAAAAAAGGATCTTTGTGAAAGAGAAAGGCAAAAAATGGGATGAAGAAGCATGATGTATTACGTGTTCTTACAGTAAGGATGCAGAGACCTAGCCAGTAATTTAAGATTAGACCACTGATTTAAAGCAGAGAATGCAGTCAAAATATTTTAAGCGATCGGAAAGATTTGGAAGACCGAGGTGAACTCTTGCCACATCGTGGTTGTCAGTAAAGGGTAAATTGCAGAATTTGTGTATCAGAAAATAAACTTTATTTAATTCAGATTGTATTTTTTGAATCAGATAAGGGGCAGCCATGGCTCAGACTAGTAAACAGTAATCGACTATTGATTGAAAATTAGTAAAGAAAATTGTTCTGAGTACGGTTTTTGAAGAGATATTTTTGCAAAAACGCAAGATAAAGCCACGTCTAATTGCAAGAGATTTAATAATGTAAGAGATATGATCATGGAATATTAATTTTTCATCAAATATGATACCAAGGTCATGATGAGACTAGACATAGTTTATTTTAGAGGAATCAATAAATATGGAAGGGTGATAGGGATTGCGAAGTAAAGAAAAACACATAATGACAGTTTTATGGATGTTGATTTTTAGATTATAACTGGCAAGATTAGAACGTAAAAAATTGACAGTGATCTGAAGAGAGGAGGGATCATTGGATAAAATTTTGATGTCATCAGCATAGGCAATTACTTTAGAGTGGGGGTTGATTAGTAATTTATCTATATAAGCTGAGAAAAAAGCATGCTTAGTACAGATCCTTGAGGTATGCTGCAGATAGGATAGAAAGGGAAAAAATCAAAGTCACCAATGTGAATCTTACATAGTCTGGATAAATAGTAATTGTTTAACCAACAGTAAAGAGCAGAATCTAAATCAAAATAATCAATTAGAGTCTGAAGTAGTAATTTAGGAATGATAGAATCAAAGGCTTGGGAAATGTCAATATAAATTATGTAGGTGAATTTTTTGTTCTCAAAGTTTTGCAAAATAGTATAAGTTGTTTCAANCAGTGGCGTGCCGTGACATTTGATGATAGGGAAGCTGTGTTTCTGTAAGAAGCCGACTTCCAGGGGCAATCAGTTAATTCTTTAAATGTATTTTTAATAGATTATTTATCTGACGTAATTAATAAATAAACAAGTTCAATATAATTACCTCTGTTATTAGGATCAATAGATTTCCTATGCCCTCTAAATGCCGATTCTCGCTTTGATAAAAACATATAACATCTATTAATTTAAATATATCTATTAGCCATAACTATCTCGTTATAATTTTCAATATTTATTTTATATTATTTACTAATGTTAAATTCTATTCCACTTTGATTTCCAAATTGCTTCAAATACAAAAGAATCGACGATTTTTTGTGTCTTTTGCCAGCTAAATCATCAAAGCCATTCTTATTCCACACACTAATTTCATTTGAAAATAGTAGACGAGCAAACAAAACAATTTTTGCATTTACAGAGTTATTTTATCATGAAAATGTCAAACAAATATTTTTTTGAAGTGTTTATATTTAACTTTGGCATTGGCCTTTCTCTTTTAATAATGTTTTCTTTTTTAGTGTATGATCTCGAGCCAAAACTTTTGTAAAATAAATTTTCAATATCACAATTACATTCTGAATCGCTAGCCACGATATAAGGGCTAAAATTAAAAATAAAATTATAAAAACTTACTTATTAAAATAAAATGTGTGATGGATATACAATTACACATACCTGGTACAAAATATTCAATTGTATGAATATAGTTTTGTGAAGAAACGCACATAAAAATAACATAAAATGTTCTTTACTTTTTAAATATTAAAACAATCTGCTTAGTTAAAACTGCTCCCTACCAGTGGCTCATGGATGGAATCGGAAACAATCTTTGTAGGTGTGCGGTGCGTGCGTGCATGCATGCCAAATCCCAAGGGTGCCGATACCGGTTAATGTCAAATGCCTCTTTTGTCGCATCACTAATATATGTCAAAGGATGC